GAGGGCCTCATGGAGCTCATGAAAATGAAAGCAGATCCCCTCCTCTTTTGGGTATCAGGATCCTTGCTTTCCTGTCTGTCTGTTTCAACTTTCTCCTTTTTCACCAAATAAAGTAACAGTAACCCCGGGACACTGAGGACAGCTTTCCAAGGGTGATACTATTATCACCAACCCTTTTACAGATGAGGAAAGGAGGGGCCGAGAAGAGGCCACCCAGGCCTCCTCCCTTCCGGGTTCCCTCCGAACTCCTTTTCCAATATACCCCTCCCTCTGCCTCAGGGCGTTCTGACCCCAAGACTGGGGGTCCTTACGCCAGGAGATCTCTGCTCCCTTCCTGCCCTGCAGCCCCTCCCCCCATGTGCTCCCCCGACCCCACCCCCATCTCCTTTTGTCCCCAGGGAATCTGCTGTGGAGGGAATCTCCCTCCCTCCCTGGCCTCCCCGGCCTCCCCACTCTGCCGACTTCCCTGATCCTCCCACCAAGTCTCCGCCTTTCATTCAGCCTCCCCAAAACCCCTACTCACCAAGCACTCGGAGCCAGATATCCACGCTCCTTTTGCCCTGCGGGAAGATGAAGAACACGCAGGTGTAGCTGCCTTCATCCTCGACGCGCAACCCAAACATCCTCAGCGAGGCATCCCGCAGCTCCGTGCCCAGTCTGGTGGCCACGAATTCCAGCCGTTTGGGCTCCGAATAGCTGGGGCCCTGCGTTGGGTGGAAGACGGCCATGCTGCCGGATTCACCATGCCGCGACCAAGTCAGCTGTGACACGTGAGTCTCCTCCATGCCGGGCACCTGTAGGTAGCAGGGCAGCGTCACGGAGTCACCCAAGAAGCCGGGCACCTGGGTGGGCGCCTGCACGACGACGTCCCCTGCGGAGAACCGAAGAGGTGTCAGACCCGGGGCGTTCCTGGGCTAGATAGTGAGGGGCTCCGGGAGCCCGGGCACCTGGGCGTGCAATTGCACGCTGGGGCCCTGGAGCCCTGGTGGACGGTGGGGTGTGGGGGAAGGGGGGACTGGGGCACTAGTTGGGGTCATGGCAGGCGAGGAGGGTAAGGGCATCTGGGATGGTCTGCAACTTGGCCTTGCTCCTTCACTTTGGCTATTTATTACCATATTTCTTCTGTTATTACCGTATTTCCCTCAATCTCAACATCATTGATTTTAAAAATTATGGTAAATATGTGGTTAAAAACTAAATTTACCATTTAAGCCATTTAAAGCATACAGTTCAGTGGCACTACGCACATTTCACAATGTTGTGCAACTGTCACCACTATATAGCTCCAGACTTTTTCTTTTCTTTTTTTTGAGACGGAGTCTCGCTCTGTCACCCAGGTGGAGTGCAGTGGCACGATCTCTGCTCATTGCAAGCTCTGCCTCCGGAGTTCAAGCAGTTCTCCTGCCTCAGCTTTCCGTGTAGCTGGGATGACAGGCTCCCACCACCACACCCGGCTAATTTTTTATATATTTTTAGCAGAGATGAGGTTTCACCACGTTGGCCAGGCTGGTCTTGAACTCCTGACCTCAAGTGTTCCTCCTGCCTCGGCCTCCCAAAGTGCTGGGATTACAGGTGTGAGCCACCGCACCTGGCCCAGAACTTTTTCATCACACTGGTGTCGTAGCTTTCACATACCATGACTGTCGTTATTTACAGCACAATTGCCATTAGGGGTTAGAATATCCCCAATGTAGAAAATGGGGAGAAATCCTAGATCTTCAAATCCATGAAAAGCTATATTATTACTCTGGGTAGGTCTTGGCTGGAAGAATGTGGGGGATCGTGGTACAAGAGGAAGGCAATTATAGTGAGGCTTCAGGCCGGTTACTTAACCTGTCTGATTCTTTTTCCTAGTTTGTAAAATGAGACTTAGAACAGTGCACACTCACAGGGCGCTCACACAGATCAGGGGCTATTCTGGGTGCTTCACATATATCTTGGCATTTAATCCTCAAATAGCCCCCTGAGGCCAGCACTACTGTTAACATCATTTTACAGACAGGGAAACTGACACAGAGTATAGCGTCCTCCAAGTCATACAGAGGTTTAGTGGCAGAGGTGGGATTTGAACTTGGGTGGTCAGAGACTGACCTCTAACCCCCCAGGTCCTATATAAAAATCTTTCTGCTAAGGGCCCTAGCACATAGTAGGTCCTCAACATGTGTCAGCGCTTATTGATAGTAATAAACATAGTCCTATGTATTCTTTTCTATTTTTAAATTTTTATTTAGTTAATTATTTTTATAGAGATGGGGTCTTGCCATGTTGCCCAGGCTGGTTTTGAATTCCTAAGCTCAAGTGATCCTCCCACCTCAGCCTCCCAAAGTGTTGGGATTACAGGCATGAGCCACTGTGTTTGGCTGCAATCAGCCTGGGCAGCATAGCGAAACCCTATCTCTAACAAAAATACAAAAAAATTAGCCAGGTGTGGTGGTGAGCACCTATAATCCCAGCTACTCCAGAAGCCACAGTGAGGATAGCTTGAGCCTGGGAAGTCCAGGTGGCAGTGAGCCCGGATTGTGCTACTGCACTCCAGCCTGGGCAACAGAGCAAGACCTTGTCTCTCTCTCTCATATACACACATACACATACACACTATATATATACGTATATATACACACACATATACATACACATAAAATATATAAATAAATAATAAAATATTTATTTCCTCATTAAATGTATAACAAAATATATATTTAT